AAATAAAATGCACTCCAAATATTAAAGGAATCAACATGAACCATTATCAATATCAAAATCTAAAACTTGCAAGAGTATTTTTAGACTTATAACTAATCCTCACACAAATAGAACTTAGTCTTAAATCAAACAATTAATCCCAATACATGTAAAATTCGCAAATCCAAATCAAATAGTTGTTATAAACTACTTATGACTTTCTGGAGGACCCTCTTGTATGGGTCTTTAGGGGAAAATGATTACCGACATGATATACACATGAAGAGACATCAGCTGCATGTTGGATTTATTCAGCATTACATTATGCAGTAATCAGTTTTAATAGATATAATTTGTTTGGGTACCATGGTGTTTTCTTTGTTGTGTTTTTCTAAAAAAACACCATGGTGTTGTGTTTTTCCCTTAAAACGTTTTCAAAACACCTTGTTAAGTATTTGTGGTCAACGCTAGTTTGACTCATTACAACATTAGTATTAAACATATTATTAATATATTATATATTAATTATAATAAAATATATTATAAATAAAATGTTATAATATTTAGTTTACATTATTATAGTATTAGAAGTATTAAATATAATGCAATATAAAATTGTATAATGTATTATAATATTATATTGTACTTATGAGTTATATTATATTATAATTATTACATATTAATTTTCAAAATTTATATATTTAATTATTTTGGTATATCAATTTGTATTGTTATATATTATATTTATATTTTATAATAAATGTTATTTTATAATTATATAATATTATACTATTATTAAATAATATAATATTATACTATTATTAATATAATATAATATTATACCATTATTCATATAAAATAATATTATTAATAATGTTAATATTATGTTATTACTAGTATGTTATTAATAACATTAATATATATAAATATTTTAATATTTATGTAAATATATTATGGTCTTTAATATGTTAGAGTTTATTAATAGTAATTTAATAATATATTAATAATTTATGATATAAATAAATATTATTATATTATGAATATATTATTTTTACATTAACATTTGTTAGCAATAAATTATTTTATTTATTATATAATATATTAATATTTTATATATTATATTACATTTACTATACAATATATTATTATAAATTATTATAATAATATTATTATATTGTTATTTTATTTTAAATATGTTGCTATTATATAATATTTTATAATTATTTGTTTATTACAGTTTGTTTATAAAATAGTTAATAATATTATAGCAATTATACTATTGTGTAGTATATTATTATACCATTATTATATTATTATTTATTATCAATAACTTTATTATTATTTTTTCTTAGTTTATTTTATATATTTTTATTATTTGTTATTATATAATACATTGTTAACATATTAAATACTAGAATTTAGTATGTTATTATATTGTTATATAAGATATTTTATTTATTATATTTTTATATTATTTAATAAATATTACCAATATATTAGATTAACTATAGAATAGTATACTATAGTATAATATAGTATAGTATAATAAGCATGTTGATAATAACTCTATATTAATTACATTTAATACATTATGTTAGATATTATATTAACACATTCTCAAACTCAAAACTAAAACACCAAACTTAAAACACCTTTTAGGTGTTTTGAAATAAATGTCGTGTTTTTGGTTTAAGGATGATTTAGCTTAAAAAACATCATGGTTTTCAAATGTTTTCAAACGCATGGTGCTTTGTTATTGGCAAAAACATCATGAAAACAAGTAAAACACTATGATATCCAAACGGAGCCTAGCTTTTGGTAGAAAGAGAGAAACATGAATCATTTATAATCTTAAGATTACCTATCTGCTACTTTTTTATTTTATTTAAAAAATCGGGCATACTGGAACTGTATGGTTTTTGACTTGCCAATGCCAACTACCTGTGTTATAATTATGATAGGAGCTCCTTCAGGGGTTCATTTATCTCAATTGAAGAGGTTAATTTAGGTTAATCTGCAGAAAGGGTCTTTATAATGTAAAATATGGTATGGAATATCCTTGTCCAAAAAAGAGAAAACTGTACTCTTTTCTTTGGGAAAAAGAAAGGGTTCATCGATAGTATATTCAATTACTTAATTCATGCCTGCTATTATGTGAATGATTCCTGCATTTGCTATCGCATTGTTATTCTTTTGGGGATTTTCTGTTCTTTCTCTATAGATTTTTCTAGTGTTTCTTCACAATGAAGTGCTGGCCCATTGAAGAAAATTTTGTTTCTTCAATATAACCATCTTATATTATTCAACAAATTCAAATTTTATTTTCTCTTTTGGTAAATTTCTCAAAACCCGCAAGAAGTTTGGCCTAATCTTGAGACTATCTCTTAAAAGTTTGGGATTGTCACTTAACTCCCAAGCCTCTGCAATTTTCTGAATATATTTTCAGATAACCCCAACTTCTTGGGGGTTATCTGAAAAAGCTTGGGGTTAAATGTCATTTTCAAACTTTTTTGGGGGTTATCTCAAAATGAGCCAAACTTCATGGGGGTTTTGTGGAATTTACCCTTTCTCTTTTAACCAAAAGTTTCTCACCCTATAATTTATCTGAATCTTTGAAGTTTGCATTATTAACTTCCTCTTTTAGATACTACATTATCCTTCTAGATTGTTGTCACCTATTATCAACTGGAATTAACATTTTAAGCACCTTTTTTTTATGATAAATTTGTACCCTCTTTATCAAGGAAGACTACGGCATTCCATGTGTGACCTCATTCTTATTGCAGGTTTGGTGCATGCTTCTCAACGATAAAGTTCCTTTCAGAATGCAGTGGCCACAAAACACAGATTTGCAAATCAATGGTAAAGAATACATATGGATTAATCACTTTTTATTTGCAAATCAATGATAAAACCTTAATGTCCAGGTTCTTGGTAACCTAACCATTTTACTTTTGCTATTTCAATTCACTAAGAAATGGAGATACTTCTAAAAAAATTTCTGCGACTGTGACAGAGTCTATATGGAGAGATTACATATTGGAAATGCTATACAAAGTAACAAAAAAGCTAAATTGAATTGAATGGCAATTGTTGCTGGAAATTTAGAAATCTTAGAGATTTGAGCGAACATTGCAGTTAGTAATCCTCTGATATATGGCTACAAAAACATTTCTTTTTTAAAAAGGCGTCAGTTTTTAGTGAAAAATAAAAGCAATAATAACTGTTCTGTTTCACCTGATGGATAGGTAGGAACATTGTGTAGATCAAGATTGAACAAATGTTTTTCAAATCAGGGGATTCAATTGGGAGGAGTTTGCTTCCATACCCATCAGAATGAGCCATCAGCATGCTTAACAATAACAGTAACTATAATGACTGCAGTAGTAGTCTGTATTAGTAATAGTAGTAGTAGTCGTAGTCATGTTAATCTCATGTCCCTTTCCGGTCGGATTCTGGATATTTCTGTTTATGTGCCTGAAGGAACTTGGGGAGGGTGCACAATATATGTCTAAATTACAGAGACATACATAGGGTGGCTGTTAGTTGATCTCATATTATGAAGATGAGAAGATCAATGGAAATGTGCCAGGAGACCTCAAGGGGCATGGGCTGGAAAACCGATGCAATCTCAAGGACGTTTGTTCATACAGCTCTTGTATATCACTTGATGAGCCTGAAGAACTGTCAAGAACGGGCAAGGGAGACAAAGAAATCTGAAATACAGGAAATAATTTTTATTTATAGTTTCTGTATTTAACTGATTGCATTTTCTTCCTTTAGGTTCTTCAGTCAGTCCAATGGTCAACGTGTCATCTTATGAATGTTGCTATTAGATGTGTCATATTTATAATGTATAGTTTAACTATCAAAAAGGACTTTGCTCTTATATTCTGTCACTCACAGTTTTCTGGTGTTACAAGGTATTTACACTTCTCTTTCTCCTGTACGTTATGCAAACTTGCAGGAGTTCCAGTCCGAACGACAAATAGGCCAGCTGTGCAGTTGCTAGGAATTAATGGACGGGATGATGGTCCTCTGGTAAGATCTTGTCGCCTTCCCTGTATTCTGATTCATGCCGAGAATTGCATTCATCCAAATCATATTTCTAGCTACCATATATATTTTAACGGAAGGAAAAATGAGTATGAGGTAGCAGCTCATTTTACTAAATGAGCAATCAAGAGATAGAATAGCGGTATGGCCCATCCTGCTCTCATCTGATCAGGTGGACCTCAACTATTTCTGGGTAGCTTATTTTGCTGAGTTAGGTGGCAACTCTTAACCTGTGTCCTTTCATTGAAACCTTGCATATTTGTTCCTTCTACTTTCAACTTTGCCACACATTGATTTTATTTTTCAGATAACCACATGCAGCAGGGAAGGAGTTAACAAGATTTGTTTGTCACGGAGTGATGCTCGCACATTCAGTTTTGGGATCAGAATTGCAAAGCGGAGGACACTTCAACAGGTTAATTTGGTTGTTTGTTTGTTTTGTATTTTGCTGATCTTCAAGTAAAAATTTGTGTGTTATTGGAGCCTTTACTTATCATTCATGTTTATTATTTATTAGTTTTCATTCTGGCAGCTATCCAATTTATAAATGTTAAGTAATTTTTCATATTGATCTAAATTATTCATGATTGTTTATTCCTGACTCCAAAAGTCCTCTCTCCTAGTCCATGTTATATAGCTATGTCACAATGACCTCACAGTGTTATTTATAATGATTCTGTGATTCAACACCATCCTTTCTCGTATGATCTGTAAACCTGTGCTTGTTCATGATTCTTATTTTCTAATATCCTAACACTTGTTCCCACTTTCTACTGTAAGTGTTAGAGTTTAGGTAGCACTTGTCCTATACTTCTGTACTTTCTTTCTTTTTATATGCTTTCCATTGGGCAATGAAATATCATGTCATCCATGGGTTGGAGCCTACGACAGTATGTACCAAGAAATGGTATTGATAATCTTAGTCATTTCAAAAGACATATCTATTCAAATTTATGAAGCCAGACTTTTTGATTTTCTTTGAGTCACCTAATGCAGTGAAGTTATTGTATTAATGTAGTTGCAGTTCATAGATCTGTTGGTTGGAACTGACAAGAAAACAGATAGCATGACAGTGGGCTAGATAAAATTGTCAGTCATAGTATCTGGAAGAATTTTGTTAGGCTGCGTTTGGGAACTAAGATTTGGATTTGAATTGTTGATTTAAAATTATGGAATTTCAAATCTAGAATTTGAAATCCATGATTTGATAAAATCTTTTGTTTGGATGCCATCACTAAATGCAAGGATTTGAAATCACAGATTTAAGATCTAATGTTTGGATGCACTTTATTATACATGAATTTGGATTTGAAATTGGTGTTTTAAAAAAAATTATGCTCTCTCTTAACTCTTCAGTATTTAAATCAAATGCGGCCATTATGGTTTATGTTGAGGTAAAAGTTAGGGTAAATTTCACGCCCCCCTCAGAAGTTTGATCTCTTCATTAGCAATTATAAATACACATGCAAACGTCTTGTCCTTCATGAACCGGTGTGAGAGAATACAAAAAATAATAATTATGTCTAAAATATTTATTATTACGACATTTTTTTTATGGTTTCATCCAATACTACATCAACCTTCGATCTCCAAAGAACAAGAGTACTACTCCACTAACTAGCCATGATAAAAGACTCGAAGAGTCAAAAGAGTTTAGCAAACACTCCTCATAAGAAGCTCGCTACACAATAATCCTTCATTTAAAACACAACATACTATAGGTAGTTGATAACCATGATTTGCTACAACAAGTAACCATGATTTGCTACAACAAGCCAAAGTACCACAACATAAACTATTAAAAGAAATCATATCCAGAATCCTTTATTTATCCTTCAAGTCTTCTCCTCTTTTCTCTCCAATGCGCCCAACTTCATGTCTCGAAGAATTTGAGTCCTACATTACACAATTTAGCATCAATTAGTCCATGACACAAAAATCAAACTTTAAAGTTGAATCATGAAGACCATCAACCCTTAAAAAAAGAAAATTTGAAGTGCAACTTATCCAAGCTTTTCCCATCAGAACGAGGTGAGTACACAACACGCCCGAACTTCGCCGTGTATTCCAAGTATATGTGCTAAAGATCCTTGACATTTACGACCCAAATCACTTGCCAGTAAGTCTACAGACTAAAAACAGCTAGTAAAAGAATATAACACTTCAACATAGACTTATAACAGATATATCTCTAGTGTGACTCATTTATTTTGCTTGAAGACATCCAACAAAAGGTAGAAAACATAAACATGAGTTCTGAGGATAAATTGTGTAAAATGAGGTTTGAGGATAAGATACAAACAGAATCATAGAACATATTGGTTTTGAACAGGTAAATGTGGAGTGCAGTATATGACCAACGAGACATAAATTTGATATCTGTAACACTAGAAAATTATTTGATGTATATTACAAGCTCTTGGTAATGATTTGCAAGTGAACCCACCATATACCAGTCAATGGATACAAGAATGGATACAGGAAAGCCAGCACTATGAGTTATCTGAGTGAGCCGTGTTTAAATTTATACAGTCAAAAGACAACTTATGTAAAGCTATCCTTGACTAAGAGACCGGTAGACGATTTGATGGCTATTATGAATATATAAATAGTGTACTACTTTTATAGGAAAAATGCATGCAATAAATTTCTTCAAATAGTACTACTCAAGCCACTGCAGAGTTAGGGAATCCGTGCTCAGTAGATTCCTATATACTTATTATACATGAGAAAAAGCATATGCTACTCAAGACAGCTAAACAAAATATATCATAGCACTTGTCCAAAAAGAAATCCAAGAGAGAACTTACTCGAATTGGTTCAAGGATTTGAGGGGTCTCGTCGCCCAACTAGAAACTACTGCTTAAGAATAAAGAGAATAAAATCTTTTTTTTATCATCAAAAAGTAACTTCAACAAATAAAACTTTTCCAGGTGGCTATCCATTATCTTCTCAAATGCATTGAACATTTGAATGCGACTTAAGTTGGGTATTTTTGAGACCATTTGATGAATCTCCTCTCCGGTTGGTGGTTTTCTTACTACTTCCTTCTTTCTCACATTAAAATACTCGCTCTAGAAGCTGTCATCACTGCAAGTGAATCAACCATTTTATTGACGTCAAGCAATACAAATCATTAATCCTGACGTATATGACTTACCATTCAATCTAACAATTCGGTTTCAATAATTAAGAAATATTTCCATTTATCCTAAAACATGTATAACACCTAAATTTACTAAAACAGACATATGAAAACTATACTGATCAGAGGTGTGATAGTTAAAAGCATAAATGTAAATTGTTCCTCACATTGAATTAAAGGAGCAGTTTACCATTTTCACTTAAAACATAAGTTATCACTAACACATGCTGACAATGGAATGCCAAAAGTACCCAAATAAACTTGATTCATACCTTGATTCACTTTGTTAGCTACTAATACTACCAAAAGGAAAGTCTTGCACAGAATAATGCAACCAAGCTCACCCATTTACCCATCAAACTTTAACAATTACTGGATCAAGCATAAAAAAAGTCGGCTTTAATGGATAAATTTAGAGGGGATCACTAATAATAGCACATTAGCACACACTACTCTACTTTAAAATCACAAATGCCCGTTGTTCATCACATTAAATTGAAGGAGAATTTTTACCAATTCTACTTAACATCAAGCCTTTATAAGAATCCCTACAGATCTAACACAGAATAATGCAACCAAGCTCATCCATTTATTCATCAAACTTACACAATTACTAGATTTACCCAAATTTAGAGGGAAATTGCCAGTAATGGCATAATTACTCACAGTCACGGGTCTCTCAGGCAGCTGCATGCAAAAAGAGCACTTGAACTTGTCATCCAAAAGCCCCATCACATCATCAGCCTTCTCCTCCTCCTTCGTCTCCTCGTCCTCGGTCCCCGATCCCTTGCCGCTCATCCGCTCCTGCCTCTTCTTCGCTTTCTCCTAATCCGTCAGAGAGTCGTCGGCCTCGATCGCGCGGATCGCCGCGACCAAGCCCCCGTCGGATCCGGGGATCAGGGAGGTGGCGGTGGCATCGCTGGAATCTGAAAGCGGCGTAGGCGGCATCGCTGCATATAGATCAGATCTAGGTTTCGACGGAAAGGGGAGACCTAAACTCTAGATCCGATCTAGATCCGATCTAGGGTTTCTATGATAGGGGGAGAGGAGAGGGGGAGAGAGGGGGAGCGAGGAGAGAGAGAGAGAGGGAGAGAGAGGAGAGATAGAAGAGGTCGGGACTTGGAAACGAGAGAATGAAGAAGCCAGGCCAGTCGGGATTTGATAAATACCAAGCGAAAGTATGGAATTTGGAATACCTGTATTTGGGCTTTCAAATCCATCTCTCCAAAATAATTTGATTTGAAATCTTAACTTAGAATCCAAACTAAAAATTTGGATTTGAAATACCTGAATTTTAAATCCTGGACCCAAATCCACATTCCCAAACGCAGCCGTAGGACAGATAACCCATGTAGCCGCTCTATATATAACATTACATATCTTGCAAATAATGTGAACGTAAATTAGATAAGCTTACCGGACATGATGATATGAAACATTCTGTGATTAATACATACACACAAAGAAGTTGGTTCATTGTAATGTCTTGCTTCTCTCCTCCGTGTGTGTGGACTAGGAGGTGCAAATAGGGTTGGTAGTCCTTTCTCTTTCGTATTGGTAGCTGAGATAGTACTCAAGAATAAACCACAACAACAGTAGTGTTGCATGAGTATCCTGACAGATTTTTTGACATGATGGAATTGTCATTGATATTGCAATCATAATTGTCAAAAATTATCCACATGAAAGTAGGTTTTTCTTCTGCACTATTAACTAAATGCTTAGTGAATAATGAGACATGTCATGTCATTGATGAACCCGTCTATTTGATTGTAATTTTCACATCCCTGGAAATCTTAAAAAAAAGGCCGTGTGTTTTGAGACCTTCTAACTCATGTATCATGTGCTTTATGTTGTCATATTATTGATAAACTGTTCATTTTGCAGCCAGCTAATGCATGAGTTACAAGTCTTTAAGGTGTATGTTTTTTTCATGCAGTTTTAAGTGAATGGACTGATTTATTCTGTTGAGGATACACATTATTTGTTGGACATAACTATGTCATGCACGTCCTTGCAGTAATATCGCTATATATGCATGAATATATATCATATGACATTTTTTTGGCGATCGTTGGGAACTAAAAGTTCTCATATAATGATCCATCAGACACTCTCCATTTACACATTTCACTCTCTGTTTCGGACTTCTATAAATAGTGTTTGTGACACAGGTCCTTAGCATGGTACCAAAGGAAACAGATGGTGAGCGTTTTGAGGACGCCTTTGCTAGAGTTTGCCGTTGCATTGGTGGTGGTAATGCTACGGATAATGCAGACAGTGACAGTGATGTAGAAGTGGTCGCTGATTCTGTCACTGTCAATCTTCGGTGTCCAGTAAGTGCTTATAAATGTCTCTGTCTAAAGGCTTAATATTTGACTATTTCTGATGGTTGTAACCTTCTTTATGCAACTGCTTTTTAACTATAGGGTGAAGATTCCTTTTTGATCTCTACATTCTTTTTATTACTAAATTTAGGACTGCAGCTATCTTCTTGTTCTAAATAACTGAACATGTGAATAGAGGTAAATGGTTGTTCTGTTAGACTAGTATTCAGCGACTAAAAGGATAACTCCAACTGCATCATTTGGTTTTAGTGCGATTTGCCTTATCATCAAAGTTTTATTATGATTTTGACTTACTGAGTTCTTGATCAGTTAACAATAATTTATAAGCAATACATGTCTTGCTTAGTTCTGCAATCAAGCAAAGATTAGGTCATCGTGTAGATATTTTGTTTGTGTACTAAGAGAGTTTGATGCTAAATAAACTCAAAATTTAGATCCGGTGCAGATTGAAATATATAAATTTATCAGGATCAGATTTGATCTTGTCTTTTAGGATTTTTGATAAGATACTTGATTTTTATCTCTTAGATTGAGTTATCTAGATTTTGAATTTTAAATCATATTAGGATATAGTTTGAGCCAGATTTTTAAATTGTATCAGGGATAGGATTGCTACCTTTACTTAAGGAGTTGTAATTTTCATTGGTTAAGCAGGAATAAAAAGTTTAGAGAAGTTAAGAAGTTTAACATGTGATGTGCCAGGGCTTGAAGCCAAAAGGTTAGGTGTTGTGTCATTCCAGTTTAGTGTAATTTCGATAGTGTATTATTTTTAAATGTCATTTCATATATGCTTTCAATTGACCAAATTTCAGACACTTAATTCGTAATTAGGTAGCTTTAGTCACTGTTGTACGTAATAATATTGCAATAAATAGTATGCAAAGAAGTCTCTATAGCTTTTTTAAAATTTTTTTATTTTATCAATTGGCAGATGTGGGAGATACTATTCAGCTTGAGTCATCTTTCTACCTGCCAGGTCTTGTGTCCACTAAGCGATATGTTTTTGTCATAGCAAACTATATTGGAAAGGGGCAGTAGGAAACTGATTTTTGAGACCTCTCATACGATAAAAGCAATCTTCTTAAACTGATTTCCAGTTATAATAATGGTCTTCATCTACGGATAATGTGTAAAAGGGTCTCCTTGTCTCTATTCCCTTCATAGGAAAAGTATGTCATCTTTCTGTTCTACATCATATGGACAGTTTGTTGCTTTATTAGATACAAAGAGATAACAAACCAACCTCTTTTTTAGTGACTAGAATTTCATGTTTGTAATTTCTTCTTCCATAAATTATGAAAATAATGAAATTGATCTGAAGTTGATCCTTACTGAGATTATGGAAATTGAGACAATGTTTTTCTGTCTAATCTCATTTGGAAGAAGGTCAGCATTTCCACAGCCATAAAATTCTGAGCTCCCTGTAGATGATTTATGTTCTTTTCTTTGCAGATGAGTGGATCAAGGATAAAAATTGCAGGACGGTTCAGGCCATGTGTTCACATGGGGTGTTTTGATCTGGAAACATTTGTGGAACTTAATCAGAGATCTCGAAAGGTAACAATTCTATCCTATTTGTTCTTAATTCTATCCTATTTGTTCTTACTATTTCTTTTCTTTTCACTTCTAAGTATCTTGTTCTCTTGCAGTGGCAGTGTCCAATCTGCCTAAAGAATTACTCTCTTGAAAGCATCGTAATCGATCCATATTTCAATCGCATCACTTCATTGGTAGGTATACATGGACTTTCTCTAGTTCTAATTGATCGACAGATGCCTCTACTGATCGTCATTACTTGTCATTTAATTGGTGGTTATAGATGAGAAATTGTGGAGAAGATGTATGTGAGATTGATGTAAAACCCGATGGTTCTTGGCGTGCGAAGAGCGAAGGTGATTGCAGGGATCTTGCTAGGTGGCATTTACCAGATGGCTCCCTTAGTACTGCAATGAATGGGGAAGTAAAATGTGGCATGGACATCTCAAAGCATATTAAGCAGGAAGATGTTTCTGTAGGCCAGACAGGTTTGAAATTAGGAATTAGGAAAAATCACAATGGTAAATGGGAGCTGCATAATAAAGTAGCTGAAGATGCAAGGGCTCCTTCCTCTGGAAACCATGTACAAGAGAAACTAGGAAAGCATTTTCAAAACCTTATGCCTATGAGCAGCAGTGCCACCGGAAGTTACAAAGACGGGGAAGATGGAAGTGTTAATCAGGATGGTGGGAATTTCGACTTCTCTCTAAATAATGTCCATGATCTGGACTCTATTTCTCTTAACTTCGACCCAACATATGATGTTGAGGATAGAATTCCTCCAGCACCAACGAAAGATGCAGACATCATTGTCCTAAGTGACTCTGACGAAGAAGACAATGCAAATGCTCCAGCAACTGATTCTAATATTATTTCTTTTCCTTCCAATCATCCTAGATTTGGAGAAGCATACTCTGAAGACCCAGCTTTAAAGGTTAATGGGACTGCTTTTGGTCCCTTTTCCAATGAAAACGATGATTTCATATTGCCTATGTGGCCATTGCCAACATATTCTCAGGCCGGTCCCACTTTTCAGCTATTTGGCTCAGATGCCAATGGGTCTGATGCTTTAATTGATGTGCAACAGAATTCACTCTCGCCACTCAACAGTTATGGTTTGGCATCAAATGGAGGCATTGGGGAAAGTTCACAAGCCCAAGATCTGCCTACTTGCACCATTGGCATGGAAGCTAATGGGAGTTTGGTTGACAACCCTTTAGCATATGACAGTAATGACCCTTCTCTGCAAATTTTTCTTCCCAGTCAACCTGCTCATCCTCCACAGGCTGATTTGAGTGACCATAGCGAAATGGCCAATGGTGATGCTTTTGACAGTTGGATATCTCTTAGCCTTGGCGGTGCTGGAGCAGGGAACATTGCCCCTGCATCCTCAAATGGACTGAAATCGAAACAGCAGTTTACGGCTCAAGAGAATGATACTGGTTTGTTCCTTCTAAAATTTATAGTATTGTTTATAAATTATGTTCTAAAATGTATAGTATAGTTTATAACTTAAATTATGTTACGGGCATAAACAACTGATTTGATTCCATCTTGTTTTAGCTTTTGGCTTTTTAATTCTAGTGCTATAATTCTATGTGAAGTTTTATATAGACTAGTTCTTTTCTTAGTACGATGATGTCATTCTTGCTTGTTAGGAGCTGCTAGGATAAGGGTAGACCTAAACCAACTTGGCAACTCTCTTGGTTGATTAGGTTTTGTGTCATGCTTTGTTGCAAATCTTATTGTTCTCATCTTTATCATTTCAGCTTCTTTACTTCTGAGCATGAATGGAGACAGAGGTCAGAAAACATCCTCCAACATTCGAAAGTCTGATGGTCCTTTTTCACACCCTCGCCAGCCTCGCTCAGTCCGGCCTCGCCTGTATTTATCAATTGATTCTGAATCTGATTAGGAGTCTGGACTGTACAAATTTGATGATTTCCAATCATTATTGCTGCTTCTGGTTTAAGGTTATCACTGCTTCATCCTTTTGGTTCCAGGTACGGAAAAAAGAGTAATCTTCCTTTTCCTCAATGAGATGACGAGAAGTTGCAGTTCACACTATCAAGCATTTGCGGAAAATTACGCCATGGTGAGCACAGAATCTAGAAACAAGTTTACTAGCATTTTTGTGGTTGCACTGAGTGGGGGATAATTTTTGGACAGGTTGATACGAATTTTTTTGATCAGGTATGTAGCATACTGTACAGTGGAAAAGTATATAAGGTGAATGTAGGAGGGTGGATTTGGGTACAAGGCCTTAATATGTGAAGCCCTTCTGTATCATTACATAACCCGAGTTCGCCGTGTAAATTTTTATGGCATTTAAAGGTTTAGTTGTGATTCATGAAGTTAGGAAATAAGAATCAAAATTTAATCTGCAGGTCATTGTGCTTATGAAATTGTCATTATTATCCGAAGAATCTTCAAATGTTTTTAAAGTTTAGTACAAGGTGGATTGTTGCTCGCTGTGTCATGGTAATAACATCTGTTACTACTATACGCTCTGCTACAAAAATATGTGAAAAGTTGATATGATGACATTTGGATACAAATTATAATAATGTTTTGTGGATTATGTTCCGATCTCCACTGGCGTATGGTCGTGCTTATTTATTTTATTTTATTTTTCTGAACATGGTTGCCTATTACCGCGTCTGTCTTTTTCTTCTCGATTGTGCTTGCGAGCTGGTGGCGTTACCGGTTTGCAAAGTTTTACTCGGAACGATGAGGGACGTGCTTTACTCGTTTTATTTGTATATTTTATTTTAGATCGCTTCGATTTTCAGTCTCATGTCGCAAATTGTACGCTAACTCTCCTCGTTCTTTACTTCTCTTAATTTGTTCCGAGGCTATCAAGAGGTTTCTCGCGGGAAACACTGTTGCTCAATTTGATCACGAAGAGAAGTTTCTGAGGATACTTGAGATTATTATTGAGGATCGTATAAAAGAAAACTGTTAAAATGTACACCTTGTTTGAATTCCGTTTTTATTTGAAAAAAAGAAGAAAAAAAAGGAAAAGGAAAAAAAAACTGTTAATGTTTATTCCATCTTTTTACGGGACAATATTTGCTTTACAAGAAAGTTCAACTATAATTTTAGCTCTTGTAAGTGTTTTTATTTAAAATTCTAGTAAAATGTTCTACTAATTTGAAATTTGATTAAATAGGGCCTAAAGTTAATTTTATGATGATATGATAACAACAACAACAACAACAATATCCTAGCAAAAAAAAAAAACAATGAGAATTTTAATGAAAAAAACGCCAAAAAGGCACATTGTCTCCTTTCTTAAACACGAAAAATCCCTTATTATAGCCAACTTTCTCAATTCCTTTTCAATAATTTTTTGTTTCGTTCTCTATTCCAAAGGTTCTCATCTCCTAAGAAATTGGGATCCACGTCTCTCCCTCAACTTAACCCTCTCAATTTCCCTTCAAATATGTCCTCAAATCCCTCCCCCCCTCATTCGGACAATTCAACCAAAAAAAGGAAAAAAATTTGACCAAAAAAAAAAAAAATTCCCCCCCTCTATTCTCTCCTCCAAAAAAGCAAATCTTTTCCCGTGCCAGACTCGAATTCAGCTTCCCCTGTGGGATTTTTCCATTCTTTCGGGGCTGTGTTCGATCTGGGCACGAGATTTTCGCAAAAATTTCAAAACTTTTTTTCTGTAGAGGTTTGCAAATTTTTTTTTAGTTTGATGGGTAATTGGTCTTTTGTTTGGGGTACATTGCCCATTTGGTGAAAATTGAGTGGTTGTTTTCAATTGGGTTTTCGTAGTTAGAGAAAATTTGAAGGGTTGAATTGCTTGGCGTTTGAGAAGAAAAGAAAAATGAACTGTTTTCCTTGTTTCGGCGGCGGGAAGAAGGAGAAGAAGGATGACTCTTCTTCCGGTGAGGAATCTAACCATGCACCAAGCGCTCAGAAAAAGCCAGGTGAGCTTTCTATTTCTTTTTATTTAACTTTGAATTGTATTCAATTGTTAGAGTTCACGTATTTGCTTTTGATAATGAAATTCGCATACGTTTGTATAAACATATAAGTTTGGTATGAACTTGACATATACAATGTTAGGGAAATCTCTATGTTGAATTAATGTGAATTAATGTTGGAGGGAAACACTTTTGATCAAAAAAGCTTAAGCTCAGAGATCAACATTTCTATTGTCTTTGCATAGATGAATTCTCTACAACACATGTTTAATGTTAGGTGATCTTTTTTTCTGAAAATTTAAGAACTCTGCATTAGTGTACGTTAGATATCTTGGGGCTTTGGAGAACATGAATAATTGAATGGTTTTATTTTGCATCAAGGTAACAAGAGAGGGTCCTTGAAAAACTAGTTCTTTAAACGTGTTGACAGGATTCTATTTTGGTAAGTTTTATGGAAGCGTGGCCTTTCATTTTCAACACCCATTAAAGACCTGGAAACTAGTTGGTCACTTTATTTATTTATTTATTTTATAGATATGCCTGTCATTTGAAAGAAGGAACTAAAGAAGAACATATATCTTGTGGCAAAGACTAGAAATGTTCTTTATTTATATATAGAAACAGTAATTGAGTTACGTGTGTGTGTGTGTGTGTGTGTGTGTGTGTGTGTGTCTACACACACACACACACATACATACATATATATATGCGGCATTGCCTTTGAGATGTCTCCTATCTATTTTCTGTTGTATCTACTGTTCTAAATCGAAGGGATTGCCTTGGTATTAGAATTTATTTTTGATGGATTAGTTAGCCAAAGTCAGGATCAGTTTTTTTGAATAGAAAAGAACCTCCTCATTTGGATTTGTGTTAGAGACAAGGTTTTGTTCACTAAATAGAGTTTGATTTACAATAAGCGTGTCAATAATAATACAACAACTAGTCACAATTAAGTCAGTGATGATTCATATGTCAAACTGGTTACCCATGCTTACCATCAAGAGTCACTTTTCAACTGGTTGCAACTTCTAAGATATATAAATGAAAAGATACAAAATCCATACATATCAGGAGACACAAGATGTTCGGTTCTTTTGCCTTTTCCTTATTGAGATTCTAGTGGTTAATATTAAGCCTAGTATCCTGTAAATACCTTTGTTCTCTTTGCTCTATTTCCATGTTGTAAGTTGTTCCTACTATTGGAATCAGAAGTTTTGTATTAAAATGAGTATATTGATTATCAGCAAACAACCCTTTCATGCTGAACTGATACTATTTTTCAGACATAAAAGAAACTAAAAGAGTTTCGTGTTTTATTGTTATTGTTATACAGAAGCTCCCAAACCTAGGAACTCAGAATCAACTCCTCCTGCCAGCACTGGAAATATTCAATCACAGAATTTCACATTCCGTGAACTAGCTACGGCAACCAAAAATTTCACACCTGATAACATTATAGGTGAAGGAGGACTTGGAAGGGTTTATAAAGGTTTTGTTGACAGCATTGGCATGGTAAATTACTACAGATCTTCTTTTTGCAAATTCTACCAACAATAACAATTAAATGAATCTATTCATCCATTCAGTTCTATTAAAGGCTATATCCTTTGTAAAGTTAACGACACTCATATTTTTCTTATGTGGTTAATTGCGGATAGGCCCCCTGTACTTTCACTCAATTGCGGATAAACCCCCTTAGTTCTATTGTTGCAGAGAGACCCCTAAGCGATATTTTTGACTCACTTACCCTCTAAGAAAGAGAAAATTGTTCTTTGACAAATAGACCCCGTGAGGTAAAATAGTAAAGCAAATATCACCCACGGGTTCTATCTGCAACAATAAAGCTACAGGGGGTTCCATCCGGAATTGGGCGATAGTACATGGGGTCTGTCCGCAAGTAACCCTTTTTAGTAATTGCTTACATCGCATCCGACTTCTCGTAGGTCTACCTCTAATCCTTCTTGCTCTATTAGTAATAATCTTATTACTTCTCGTAATTGGCAGATTTATTGGTCTCTGCTTTGCATGTTGCTAAACAATCTCAACATCTCTCTCATTTTATTATGAACAAAAGCAACCTCTAACTTTGTGTGAATGAACTCATTTACAAAATCCCACCACTCTTCTCTAATTAATTTTTTCCCCTCCATGTCAGACTGTCGCTGTTAAACAATTAGACAGGAATAGCCTTCACGGAAACAAAGAGTTTCTTGTGGAAGTCATGATGCTTAGTCTCCTTCACCATCCAAATCTCGTCAATCTTGTTGGATATTGTGCAGATGGAGATCAGAGACTTTTGGTGTATGAATACATGGCCAATGGCACTCTACAAGACCATTTGCATGGTAGAACAGTTATCACATACATGTTTACATTCTTGAATTGAGTAAATTGCACTTTTTTCTTGTATGATAAACATAAGGAATGATATGCTTATGAGAACTGTTTATTTTCTTACATCTTTAGTAAAAGGTTGAAGGAAACTAGTCACACATTATGTACATCTAATAATCTGTCTAACACAGCACAGAGAGGAACAAAGTAAAGAAGGGAGGCACATTCAACATTCAAGAAGTTACTGTGCCCTAGATTGCACAGATACAAGAACGGATGCAGACACAAACACGAGACACTAGACACGACAAATTTATAAAAAGCAGGATACGTGGATTTCTATACACACACATGCATGTATATATATAATATTTACATTAGATCAAATATTGAATTAAAATACCCATAACATTTGTATGTTTCTTTTACTCACTATGAAAATTAAGAATCAAATTAAATCAAACTAAGGATTAAGGTTTAACAACAAAAATCTAATTTTGATAGCAAGAGGTAACATGGGTATTTTTCAAATCTTTAACTTATGGTTTCAGTTTTCAGGTTCAAAACCCTATCGGTTCCGAGCTTGATATACCCAATAAACTAGTTTAGGCTTATAATTATGGGAAAATCAGGTTTTGCTTTGAACCACGTGTCCATGATGTGTTCGCGGTGAATCCATGTTTGACACGTGTCCAACATGGATACGGCATCCAAAACAAAGTGTCTGGTGACCTAGCCTATGTCTAACTTGTTTATATCATTACATTTTGTACCCATGCAAGTTATGAAGTTTAACGTCTTGAGATATTTTCATTTGGCTTAACCATCAAATCTTACTATTTTCTATTTTTCTAAGTAAAAAGTGGGAAATTTCAACCTTGTTTCATTGATAATATTGTAAGAAAACATCACACTACATCTATGTCCAAACAATCATAGAGAGATACTACGCTTAACTTATACACACACACATTTTTTTTATAACTATGTGAACTGAGAAGCAAAATGTATTGAAATAGTCCTCATTTTTCTTGTAGTCCTCAAAATCTTTTTCACCCATGTTTGTATATTTTCTCCATTTCTACGTCAAAAACGATCATAGATAGATATTATGCCTGATTTCTGTACTCTTTCATTTTATGTCAACTAAGAGGCTCAATTTCTCAACAGATCTCAAACCAAATCAGAAACCTTTAGACTGGTACACGCGAATGAAAATAGCTTTTGGTGCTGCTCAAGGTCTTGAATACCTGCACGACAAGGCAAATCCACCAATTATCTACCGTGATATGAAAACAGCAAACATATTACTCAATGATCTTATGACACCGAAGCTATCAGACTTTGGACTAGCTAAACTGAACCCTATGGGAGATAGTCTGCTCGTCTCATCAAGTGCTATGGGCACTTATGGATACACTGCGCCAGAGTGTTCAAGAAATGGAGAGCGCACTATGAAATCCGATGTATATAGCTTTGGGGTTGTTCTTCTGGAGTTAATCTCGGGTAGAAAAGCCTCCGATTCATCCAAGCCAGTGACTGAACAGAATCTCGTCACATGGGTATCCCCCTTTAATTATTTAATTTTGGTCCATCCTCCAAATATTAATTTCTTTGATAAGATGTTTCCAACAAATCATGGAGGGCAATTAGTTTGTTGGGCTTTTTCTTCCACAGAAATCACCTTTAAAGTAGACTGAAAATACGAAAAACATATTTAAAGTGCATTAAGTGCATTTTCGAGATTTCAATTGAAATTTCACCAGAAAATAGGTCATGGTGGTTGATTCCTATCTTATTAGCGCTCACACCCAACACTCATGAACCTTGACGTTGCTTTTTTCACCATCATTTTAAAAGGGAATTTGGTATTTCTGAAGTTAGATTGAGGAAGAATAACTACTTTCGTCTATAACTTTTCCTCTTACGCATATGAACAGGCACAGCCAATGTTTAGGGAGCAAAAGAAGTACCCCGAGCTAGCTGACCCGATACTTCAAGGCGACTACCCTCTAAAATCCCTGAACCAAGCAGTTGCAGTTGTAGCCATGTGTCTTCAAGAAGAGGCATCGGTTCGTCCATTAATGGCCGATGTTGTTATGACACTAAGCTTCTTGATCGAACCAATGCCTACTCCTCAAACGAGTCCAACCTCAATTCCTGATCAAACACCACCTCCTCAAGTCCAAACCCAAAGCCAACCCCAAGAAATTAAACAAAAATCCTCGAGCTCGAGTTCAGATGAACATGTAGTTGAGACTCTTCAACTAGGCCTGACCTCAAGGAGAAGTCAAGCGGGGTCCAAGCCTCCAAGTCGTACAAGCTCAATACACAGTTCGAGCTCAAACAAAAGTTCAAGCTCTAGCTCACGACAAAGTTCAAGGAAAAGTTCAAGAAAAAACTCGAAGAAACACAGAAAGGAGTCATTTAGACAAATAAGTGATGCTAGTTCAATCTCAAAAGAAGAACAGGAACAAGAACAAGAACAGGATGTATCCGATCATGATGGAAGTGATAGTAACTCAAGTTCCAAATATTCGAGGGATTATTCTAACTATGGAAGTAGTAATTTCATGAGTTTGAAGATCACCGGGGGGTCGTCAAAGCATGGAAGTCAGAGCTCAGTATCTAAAGAGGGATCTGAGCATGGAAGTGAGGATTCAGTTTCAAGACACTCTGAGGAATCTGAACATGAGTATGAATCTGATTGATATTGAATGAATCTGAGTACAAACTTCATTAGATATATGTATAAAGGAGTTTTGGGTTTTTTGTGTATGTTTATACTCATTCATGTGTTACGCATCAAATGAATATATAATGTGAAGATCATAAGAATTTACACCTCTATGTCGAAAATCTGTTTATTGTTCCTGTTTGATATGATGAGCTCATGGGTAATGAGGTTGAAAGTTTCTAACATGCAAGGTTGACTTATAATTATTTGGTAAGCTACAATTCAACTATTTTTTATATTGGTTGTCGATATTTCAATCATATATACTACTTGATGAGCAGTAAGCTGTGATTTGCTCAAATTGACTACAAACTGGAGATGCTAAGATTCTATGTATATTGTGTTCAGGAAAGATTTTCGGCTTATAGGAGAAGTTTTTGGAAAAATGATTCATTAATTAACTCGATGTCATATGGGTATATATACTTCAAAATTCACGATTTTCACGGGCTATAACCCAAGTTTTTTTTTTCCATTTTTATATGTTTCAACCCAATGACAATTACTTATGCATCCTTCAAAATTCCCAATTTTTAAGGGTTGTATAATCTATGTTTTTATCTACTTTTGTTTATTTTGACCAAATGATAATTAATTATGTCTACTTAAAAGATTGCGATTTTCATGGCCTATAACTCACGAATTTTATTTTTTTCATTTATTCTGATCCAATGATAGTTATTATGTGTATTTCAGAATTTGTGATTTTTATAAGTAATCCATGAATTTTGCTCATTTTAGTCCGTTTCGACCAGATGACAATTAATTTTGTGTACTTCAATAATTGTTGCTTTCACGAGCAACTCGTGTATTTTCTCCATTATCATTCATTTCGACCAAATGTCAATTACATATATGTTCTTAACATTTCGTGATTTTCATGAGTTAAACCTCTACTTTTGTCAATTTTCATTCAAGTCGACCTAATGGTGATTACCTTTTTTTAAACAGTTCTTGATTTTCATGGGTTATAACTCATGATTTTTCACATTTATTGCTCACTTTTTTACCAAATATTAATTAATTATGCCTACTTTAAAATTTGCGATCTCTATGGGTTATAACCCATGATTTTTGTCCCTTGTTGTTTATTTTTACCCAATGACAATTAGGTACGCGTATTTTAATTTTTCTAATTTTCATGAGTATAACCCATGATTTTGGTCCACTTTTATTAATTACCCATGAATTTGATCCACTTTTATTAATTAACCCATGAATTTGGTCCACTTTTATTTGTTTGATCCAATGATAATTAATTATGTGTACTTCAAGTTACTAGATTTTTCATGGATTATAACCCATGACTTTTACCTATGTTCCTTTGTTGCGATCCAATGATAATTAAGTTTTCTTTCTTTAAAATTCGTATTTTAATAGGCTATAATCAATAATTTTTGTCAATTTTTTATTTGTTTTAACCCAATGACAAAAAGTACATGTACTTTAAAATTCACAAGTTTCATGAGTTACAAAACACTAATTTGGTCAATTTTCATCTATTTCAACCTAATGGCTATTAGTTAGGCATACTTCAAAATTCAAAAATTTTATAGACTATAATTCATAATTTTGTTTTTTTGTTCGTTTTGACTCAATAGCAGCTAATTATTCATATTTTAAAATTCACAATTTCCACGGGCTATAACTCATGAATTTTGTCCATTTTTTGTGTGTTTCGACTCAATAGCAATTAATTACGAGTAGTTAAAATTCACAATTTTCATGGATTACAACCTACATTTTTTTTTCAATTTTTCGTGTGTTTCAATCCATTGGTAATCACTTATACCTATGTTGTAAATTGCGGTTTTATGAGCTATAATCCATGATTTTTCTGTCAATTTTTTCTAATTTTAATTATATGTGAGCGTACCTCGCGATTTTCGTGCACTATGATCCGTAATTTTTTCCCATTCATTTATTTGGAGCCAATGATATTTAATTGTGTGTACTTCAAAAACTTGCAATTTTATGGGCTGACACATGATTTTTGTCAATTTTTATTTGTTTAGACCCAATGTCAATTAATTATGCATGTTCGAAATTCACGAATTTTATTAACTATAACATATGATTTTTGTCCATTTTCTTTTGTTTCAACCCAATAGCAGTTAATTAAGCATACTTTAAAATTCATAAATTTAATGCGCTTATAATTCATAATTTTTTATTATTTTTGGCATTAGTGCCAATTAATTTTGCATATTTCTTAACTCGCTATTTTTATGGGTTATAATTCACGATTTTTGTCCATGTTCGTCTGTGTCGACCAATGGCAAATAAGTTGTACGTTTTTGCTTGAAATTTGAGATTTTCATGGGCTATGAGTCTATGACCTACGGCTTGCCTCAGTTTTGCATTCTTTTGATCCAATAACACACGAGTATGTTTACTTTAAAATTCGCGATTTTTACAACCTGCAATTTTTGTCTTTTACTGTTCATTCCAACCTAATAATAGTTATGTGTGTGTTTTAAATTTACTATTGAATGAGCTAACCTACGATTTTTATTCATTTTTTCAAATGACAATTAAATACACAAGCTTAAAAATTTGCGAATTTCATGAATTATGCTCATGATTACCATTTTTGATTTCTCAAACCAATGACAACTATAAAATAGATAATTATGTTCGGTCATCAGAAAGTTTATGGGCTGTTTGGTTGTATGTTTTTACCATGTAAAAGGATGGAAAATGTAAAAAAGTGGGTCCCAATGTCAGCTTGCATCACTTTCAATTATTTGTTTATAGTTTTGAAAATAGTGTAAAGTGATTTCATATGCTAATGTGGCTTGTAAAGTGATTTCATAAAAAAAAGACATAATTTTAGGATAAAAGCTGACATTGAAGTTAGGAAAAAAATAATAAAAAATAATTCCAACCAATATGATCATTTGAGTAGGGACCACTTTTTACACTTTCCAAACAAACAATTAAAGTTACATTTGCAAACCAAACAAGCAATTTACGATTAAAATGGAATTAAAAACAAACAAAGAAAAGTATAAAAATGAAATTGATGAGGTGGACAACAACTTTCCAAGTTGTATCATAAATACACAACTTTACCAACAACAACCAAACAGCCCCTTACAGTGTTAGTAAAAACGTTGATCGAAAAGTGGAGGAACTCGCGGTTCCAAAGTTCAAAATAAAAACGTAAGCAAAATAATTACTCTTTATTATTATTATAGGGGAAAAAACAACAACTAAACCTACTCGTTTTGGCGGTAATAAGTGTAAATTTGAATTCATTATAAAGTTGTCGCCTCGTCAAACGAAAAGACAAAAGAAAAGTCCATCCCTCTCTATTTATTTATTTATTTATTTACTTACTTATTATTATTCGTCAAGAAATTTCCTAAATAGAACCCTGGAAACCCTAGGTACTCGATAAACCCTAGATCATCATGAAGAGCAAGAAGCCACTGCGGCCGCTCCAGCTCGCAGTGCCCGATGAAGCGATCCAAGTCGACAAGTTCCTGTGAGCATTTTTTTTCTCTCTCTTTCTAAATCCTCCCAATTTTGAATCGATTTGGTGATTTATCCAAAATTTGGGGTTTTTTTCTTTGATTTGTTGTTTGAATTGAGGGGGATTAGGGTTTTGTGGGTTTCAGGACAGCTAGTGGGACGTTTCAGGATGGAGATCTTCGTTTGAATCAGAAAGGACTTCGATTGATGTCCGAAGATAGCGGTAGTCAAGTGAGTTGTTTTCTTTTTTCTTTTTGCAGTACTTAGCAATCTAAAATAAGACTTGAATACTTGAGTTTGAGCTCTTGAAGTAATGGAATTTAATGTGTATTGTTACAGTTATTGTATAAATTATGAACTTCTAATTTGTAAACATGCTGTTGATGGTTCCTACACCTAGCAAGCTAAATCTGAGGTGTTGCTGAAGATTCTTTCTGTTTGATGGTTAGAGAGAATATCTGAGGAGTAGGGGGGATGAAGACGATAGAAAGTCTCATTTTTGGATTCTTGGTTGAACATGTTTCTTCATTAGAAGAGGAATTTGTTTGATTAAGAGCCTCATTATAGTGTATTCTGTAGGATTTAAGCGGTTTTAATAACCTATTGCTTAAGAGATTAAGCAAAGCAGCTTATGTTGTGGCCTTCTGTGTTATGTGGAAGGAATCATACAGAGCGCTTAGGCCCTTATCCATCCTTATTGTATCATATGATGTCGCAATCTTGCAGATGATTTGGTAGAAATCTTAGATTAATATCTGTATCACCCTCGGAGAAAGTACCTAGCAGACTACAACCACAACACTTGATATCAAGCTTACAGAAATTGCTACGCCCTAGGCGCCTGACTCGGCACCAAGAGCCTAGGTAGTTTTCCTATATATAGTTTTAGTTATAAAAATAACAAATGCCAATATTATAGAAAGTATTGGGCACCACTAGGCAGATTTCTTCTCTGTTTAAATGTTGATAGGGGAAGTTTTTCTGAAAGTTGGAGGAGGTGTTCATAGTTAGTGGAGGTGGTCAGAGGAGATTGGAGGAAGTTGGAGGACGTGGTGGTTGCAACATAGGAAATCCTGACCAAGACCTAAACAATGCAGTCTGTGTAAGCTGTCCACACTCCCGTAGGCTCTAATAAGTCCTAGCCGGGCGGCCTAGGTACCGCTTTTTAAAACATTGCTTAATACACATAGACATTAGAGAGAAAATTGAACACAAGATTAGGTACCTCATGGGCATGGAAGGCCATTGTTGTTTCTCTCTTTTGTCCAAGAGCCTCATGCGGTTAGATGTGATCCATGAAATCATTTGAGGCGACAAGTTGAAACATCCTGCTTTCAGAGGATGAAAATCACTATCTTCAAATTGAATCCCACAAGAAGCTCCTTTCCTGCTATCTATTACACTATAGAGAAAAGGCAGATTTATTTAGTTGGGTCGTAGCTAAGGCTTCAACTATGATAGTTTCCTACATATAGCTTCTATAATTGAGAGTACTCAAAAAAGTGAAATACTGTATATTATCAAGTGGACTGGAGCCGAATAGGATTTCTAAAAGTGAAATATTGAAGGTTTGATGGGAACAAATTAGAAAGAAATTGCTGAATTATTTAAAAACATGGGTGAGATCTACAAGGGAATTACTTTTAATATTGTTGGTTGTCCATAAGTTAAAGATGTATTGGACCAACTGTCATGCCAAGTTATAAGATGTTACAATATTATAGCAGCAACCTTCAATTTTCTCAAAAAAAAACCAATCATTCTATGAAATATTCGCATTGAGAGTTGTTATTTGTTCTATCTAATTTTTTCAGTAAGTAAACTTTGTGTTACGATAGGAGCCTCTATAACACCTGCTAGAAGGTAGGAGTTTGGACTTATCAACTTTTGCCTAAATGCTCTACTTAATCAAAATCTCTCTATCGATATCTCTCCTTCAATAATAAATAAAATACTTTCTCAATTCAGAATCCTTAATAAGAATGGTTGAACATATTGTTGATTGATCGTTGCTCTTATATGTAATATGTTGGCAGTTATTACAAGCCTTTTCTGAATATAAAGGGTTAGCAAATAAGCTTTTTGGTCTATCAAAACGAAGGATAAAATGAGGTAGCTTGTTAAATTTCTTGTTTATAGGTTTTGGTAAATTGCTATGTATTGCCTTCTCAATTGAGGGGTGTGTTCCATAGAATGAAATGGTCACCATAATGGTGATACTTCGATTTCAATAATGAGCCAAGATTGCCAGCGCTAACAATCCATAATAGGACCTCCAAATTTGTTTAAACTTGACCGGTACATATTATATGATACAGGCGCACGCTTCAGAAACACATGTACACATAAACATGTATGCACATATGTACATGTACTCAAATATAATCTACAAGCAAGACATGGATGTCAAGGCACACTTTCTGCATAGGAAATAAATAAAAATCATGATTCTTTTTTTTAGGTTTCCTTTTTAGTGTAGGTTAATGAATTAGCCTTTTTATAAAATATTTTATAAAATTCTAATTTTTAGTTTATACTTTAGAATTAGAAGGGCATTTTATTTTATCTTCAGGTATTTTTGAAAGGGTTGAAATTTGAATGAGGGAGCTGGATTTAAATTTTTGGAATAGCAGTGTTCACTTGCTTTTTGAAAAGATATACTATGGATAACTTAATTCAATAATGTTTTTACTTGATATTCTCAGCTTTCAATTCTCATGTGCAAGCAACATTGTTGTCTTGAACTTATATTTGAAGGATATTGCTTTGAAGGAATGATAGTTTATTTTCTGTCCGGTTCTAATTTTGGTATTTCTTGAGAAAGTTGAAAGAAATAAAATTTTAGATATCACCTTGACACAATAATATACAATTTTGTTTCTTTCGTTGAGTAAAGTAGGTTATATTGGTGAAATAACTCGAATGACATTAGAATATATTCTAATGGTACTTGAACATTAGAATGTGTTAACCCACGATTTTGGTCATTTTCGACCAAATCTCAATTAGCTGTACCACATAAAATATTTTATGTGTATTCCAAAATTACCCAAATTTAGTGGATTATAACCTATTATTTTAGTCGTTTTAGACTAAATCACAAGTTGTCGTCCCACATAGAAAGTTTTATGTGATCAAATATTAACCCATATGGTTATTTTTGTCTAAATCACAATTTGTCGTCGTGAATAGAATATATTATGCCTACGCAAATTACCGAATTTCTTTGGATTGTAATCTATGATTTTGGTCATTTTCCACCAAATTAGAAGTTGCCTTTCTCACATAGAATATTTTATGCATACTCAAAAGTTTCCAAATTTTTGTGGAGTATAACCCATAATTTATGATGTTTTTGACCAAATCACTGATTATTGTCCCGCATAGAATATTTTCTGCATACTTTGAGATTCTTGATTTTTGTGGACTATATAACCTGCCATTTTGATCATTTTCAATCAAATCACGAGTTGTCATCCCGAGTAGAATTTTTTTGACGAGTTTGAAATTCTTGAATTTTTATGGACTATAACTCTTATTTTTAGACGCTTTTACCAAATCAAAAGTGTTATGTGATCGTAGAATACCAATAAAACTAAAAGGAAAATCCTATATGATGGTTATAAGACTAACAATTCTCTATGAGTTAGAGTGTTGGGCAATTAAAAAATAACATATACAAAAAATGAGTGTAGCAGAAATGAGAATGTTGTGATGGTCTTGTGGACATACACTAAAAAGATAGGATAAGAAATGAGTACATCTGTAGTAAATTAGATGTTGCTCATATTGAGAAAAAATGAGAGATAACCGACTAAGAGGGTTTGGCCATGTACAATGGAAACCTTTTAGTACACCAGTTAGGAAATGTGAGAGTATTATAGTTAATGAGTCTAGGAGATCTAGAAGTTGACATAAAAAAACTTAGTTGGAAGCAATTAAGGACATGATTATGTTTAACTTAACAGAGGAGATGCTCCATAATAGAATGGAAGGAAGAATAAGATTCATGTAGCCAACCCCGAATATTTGAGATAAAGGCTTTGTTGTTATTGTTGACAAAATCAAATTTGCCAAAGTTGCATAGAATATTTATACGTACTCTGAAAATCCTAAATCTCTTTGAATTATAACTTATGATTGTGCATGATTTTGACCAAATTACAAATTGTCATCCCGCATAATATGTTTTATGCTTATTCAAAAATCACTAGTTTTGTGAATGCTCATGATTTTGGCAATTTTCGACCAAATGACAAGTTGTCTCGCAAAAAATAATTTATTATGAATTTCTCAAATGTTTGTGGACTATAACCCATTATTTTGGCCGTTTTCAACCAAATCATAATTTATCATCCTACATAATATTACATGCATACTTTGGAATTCCCAAATATTTATGCACTATAACTTATGATTTTGGTTGTTTTTTTTTACAAATCACATGTTATGCATAGAATATATTATGCGTGCTCCAAAATTCACGAATTTTTGTAGACTATAAGTCATGATTATGATAATTTTTAATCAAATCGCAAATTGTCATCCCCATAAAATATTTTATGCATACTCTAAAAATTTTGAATTGCTATAGACTAACCCATGATTTTGCTGTTTTCAACCAAATCACAGGTTTTGTTGCCACATAGAATATTTTATGCATGCTTCAAAATTCCTAAACTTTTTTTAGAGTATAATCTAATACTTGAATAAATCATATGTTGTCTTTGTCAACATAGGATATTTTATGCGCTCTTCATAATTCCCAAATTTTTATGGATTATAATCCATGATTTATATTGTTTTTGACCAAACTAGAAGCTGTTGTCCCGCAAAAAATATTCTATGGACTATAACCTATGATTTTGGTTGTTTTTGACCACATCATAGTCATGCCACATAGATTATTTTATGCGTATTTCAAAATTTTTGAATTTATTGGACTATAACACATTATTTTTCCCACATTTGGCCAAATCATAAGTTGTCTGACATAGGATATTTTATGTGCACTAAAAAATTTGCCTATAACTTTGGTCGTTCTTGACCAAATCACATATTGTCGTTGACACGTTGTGCATAGAATATGTTTGCTTATATATTCCTGAACTGTGGACTATAGACAATGATTTTGGTTGTCTTCGATTGAATCACAAGTTGACTTCTCGCATGAAATAGTTTATGCGTACTCCAAGTTCATATGGACTATAACCCATGAAGTTTACCTTTTTTGACCAAATTACATATTGTTGTGCCAAATAGAATATTTTATGCTTATGCCACAATTTTTGAATTTCTCTAGATTATAATCCATTGTTGTGCCCGTTTTCGACCAAATCATAAGTTATTGTCCCACATAGAATATTTTATGCATACTCATGAATTTTAGTGGACTATAACCCATGATTTTTGTTGTTTTCGACAACAACACAAGTTCTTTGAGAAGAATATTGTTTATGCATACTCGGAGATTCTTGAATTTCTATAATATCATTCCGCGTAGAATATATTATGGGTACTCTAAATTTCTCAATCTTCTTTGGATTATAACCCTAGAATTTTGGTCATTTTTGATCAAATCACAAGTTGCCTTATGCATAATCTAAAATTCCTGAATTTATGTGGACTCTAATCCTTGATTTTGGCGGTTTTCAACCAGCTTATAAGTTGCCATGCCGCATAGAACAATATTTGTTTATTATGCAACTCCCCATTTTTTATGATCTATAACCATGATTATGCACATTTTCGATGAAATTAGAGGTTTTCGTCTCGCATAGAAAATTTTATGCATACTCCCAAATTCCTAATTTCTTTACTACAATCCATGAGTTTTGTTTGTTTTTTACGAAATCACAAACTACCTTCTTGCATACAATAATTTGTTCATACTCCAAAATTCTCGAATATATGTGGACTATAATCTTTGTATTTGGTCGTTCTCGACCAAATTACAGATTGTCGTCCTACATAAAACATTTTATTCATTCTCCAACGTTCCCCATTTTCTGTGGGCTATATAACCCAGGATTGTGCCCGATTTCAATCACTTCACAAATTGCTGCTCCATATATGATTTTTTATGCATACTCAAAAGGGTTTTTTTTTGTCTTTTTCTAGACTATAATCCATAAATTTGACCGTTTAACCAAACCACAAGTTCTCACCACTCGTAGAATATTTTATGTGTACTCCGAAATTGCCGAGTTTCTGTGGATTGTAACCAAATTATTTTGGCCCTTTTCGACTAAATCACTACTTGTCTCGCATATATAAAATTCTTAATTTTCTGTGGAATATAATCTATAATTTTTGAAGTTCTCAACCAAATTGCAAGTTGCCATCACACGAGAACATATTATTTGTACTTCAAAATTTGTGAATTTCAATTGATTGTAAGTCATGATTGTGATTGTTTTGGAAACAAATAAATTGTCGCCCTGTATAGAATATTTTATGCATATTTTGAAATCTTCAAATTTCTGTGGACTATATAACCTATGGTTTTAATTATTTTTGACTAGATCACAAGTGTAGTCCCACATAAAAATATTTTACGTGTACTTCAAATTTTGAATTTTTGTGGTGTGTGAACCATTATTTTAACTGTTTTCGACCAAATAACAAGTTTTCGTCCTCTATAGAATATATGATTCATGCTCCCAAATTCTCAAATTTCTGAGGACTATAACTCATGATTTTGGTTGTTTTTAACCAAATTACAAACTATCATCACACATTAGTGCTTTATGCGTACTCCAAATTTCTTTGTTTTTACTTATCTTAACGTAAGAGTTTGTGCCCTTTTTCAAACATAATTACAAATTATCTCACATTGTATATTTGTGTAATCCGAACTGTTGAACCTCTATGGATTATAAACCATGATTTTGATTGTTTTCGACGAAAATTACAAGTTGTCGTCAGGCATAGTATATGCTACAAAAACTCTAAAATTTGTGAATTTATGTGGACTATAAGTCACGGTTGTGGCTGTTCTCAATCAAATCACCAATTACTGTCCAGCATAAAATATTTTATCTCTGACTTTTTGTAATCTATTATTTTGACTGTTTTTACCAAATCACGAGTTGCTACCCCACAGAATATTATATGCGTACTTCAAAATTCTCGAGTTTTTGTGAACTATAGCATGTGATTTTATATGTTTTTAACTAAATCACAAGTTGCTATTCCTCATTGAATATTTAAAGTATACTCTTAAGTTTCCAAACTTTACCAACTATAGAACCTATGATTTAACTGTTTTGAACCAAATCACAAATTATCATCCTGCATAAAATATTTTATGTGTACTCCAAAATTCTAGAATTTCTGTGGACTATAACTCATGATTTTGCTTGTTGTCGACCAAATTTCAACTTCTTGTTGTTCATAGAATATTGTGTACGTACGCAACATTTCCAAATGTCTGTAGACGTTGTTTTTCGATCAAATCACAAGTTGACATCCTATATAGATTATTTTATGAGTACTCTAGAAATTATGATTTTTTGTGGGCTATAACGGATGTTTTTGGCTATTTGCGATCAAATCACAAGCTGGCGTCCCGCATAAACTATTTTATGCATCTTTCAAAATTCTCAAATTTTAATGGATTATAACCCTGGACTTTGGCCATTTTCAACCAAATTATAAGCTGTCATCCCGCATAGAATATTTTTTGCTTATTCCAAAATTCCTGTAGTTCTATGAGGTATAACTCATTTTTCACTTGTTTTTGGCCAAACCATAAGTTCCTGTCCGACATAGAATATTTTATGCTTACTTCCAAACTACAGAATTTCGGTGGACTATAACTCATGATTTTGGTCGTTTTCAACCAAATCATAAATTATCATCTGGCATAGAAATTTTATGTATACTAAAAAAATTTCTTATTTTTTATGGACTATTACCCTTGATTGAGTCTGTTTTCGACTAAATGACAAGTTCTCATCCTAAATAGAATATTTATGCATGCTCTGATATTTCACTACTAATGGTACTTATTGAAAGTCATTCATATTTGGTGTCATTATTTCTCTGACTTATCTTTTGTTTGCTTCTACAACTGTTGTGTAGCCACCGGACATTAAAGAGTTTGAGACACAATTTGCACTAGAAGATCTTGAGACCATCAAAGTTATTGGGAAAGGTAGTGGGGGTGTTGTTCAGCTTGTTCAACACAAATGGACGGGATCATTATTTGCTTTAAAGGTAACAAAGACTATAGCAGCATTTTTCATTTTTCTTAAATTTTATGTTGATCACACTTACAACTAGTTTCTAATTTTAAGAGGTCCATACTGATTATTATTTGTTTCTACTTAATCATAAATTGTTTTAAAGATTAACTATACAACGTTTTGATATTATCTTGAGGCGGTAATCGTTCCTGATTATAATATAGATGCCTTTGCAGATTGTTAGTATTCAGGCCTTAATGACAACATGGGAGGTTAATCTGTTTTCATAGAAATGCATCGTTGAAATGAGATTTGTTACATATGATGAGATTCATGAGTGAGCCAATGAAGATTAATTAACAGGGAATCACTATATTCTCCTTTGACCTGAGGTTGGTAGGAATTCTTGCAAGTTACCGTTGGTTTTTGGAAACTCACCCAAGTCGATGGGTGTACTCTTTCGTTTTGTACTCGTGGTTTGAATGGTGAACTCCTGGTATTGACGCTTTCCCACGGATAATATTAGAGAGGAGAAATGTAGACCAGGAGTTTGATGGACATACTTAGCTAGTGCATATGCAATTTATATGCTTCGAGTAGGAATCCTGTGAGACCACTTCCATGCAGGAAGTGTCGTGTAGCTCTCCAATTTGAGGGCTGAGATACCAAGCATCAGGAGAAAAAAAATTAGGTTGGTGGCTGGGGTTTAAGCCTTCAGATGAATGGGCAGTAGAGCATTTTCCATGCAACACTTTCCGAATGGGCAAAGTTCTGATAGGATTTGTATTCTAATGCTTCCTTACAGGTTGAATTGGCTAATAGCAACCCGTAAATATAGTAGTTCAACGATGACTGGAAGTTACATGCTTATCTACCCATCTACTTGAATTTCTGTATGCTGGTAATTGTTAGAGCCTAAGATGTTGATACAGAAAAGGTGACAACTTATATTTTCTTCATATTAACTCGTGAATGGAGTTATACTTCTATGTATCTTCTGTTTTTCTTTCTTCGTAAGAGGAATATGATAATAACACTTGGATATTAGAGTTTATAAAAGCTAATGCATGCTGGTGGAAGATTTTGTTGTCTCTAATTCTTTTGTGATACTTTCCACAAGCTATGACCTGTTGCTTGAATTTGTGGGAGATATTCTTTTTGAGATAAATTTTCTTCAATATCTCTTTATAATACGAAGAGTGCAGGAAATAATGATATGACATTGAATTTTCCAGGGCATACAGATGAATATTCAAGAGACAGTCCGCAAACAAATTGTCCAGGAGCTTAAGATAAATCAGTCATCACAATGCCCACATGTTGTTGTTTGTTACCACTCTTTCTATCACAATGGCATTATTTCTCTTGTCTTGGAATACATGAACCGGGGATCTCTTGTGGATATAATCAAACAAGTCAAGACCATTCTGGAGCCATATCTTGCAGTTCTCTGCAAGCAGGCAAGTGAACCTTACAGGCATACCTTATGCAATGTTACAGTAACTTCATCTCGTTGTCTATAATGCTAACATAGGTTGATATACATTCAGGTATTGGAAGGTCTGGTATATTTGCATCATGAAAGACATGTAATCCATAGGGACATAAAGCCATCAAACTTGTTAGTGAACCACAAAGGTGAAGTGAAGATTACTGATTTTGGAGTCAGTGCTGTGCTTGCTAGCTCCATGGGTCAGCGAGATACATTCGTGGGTACCTATAACTATATGGCGGTATGTTGATCTACTTTTTTTCTCATTGCTCAGGTCATTATACATTTCTTTTACTTATGCAAATAAAATTAGTGATTAAAATTTTTGGTATCTATTCTGTCTGTTACACAAAATATTTGATATTTTCATTGTCTACTGTCAGCCTGAACGGATCAGTGGAGGTTCATATGACTATAAAAGTGATATCTGGAGTCTGGGTCTTGTAATACTTGAGTGTGCTATAGGTCGTTTTCCTTACATACCAACTGAACAAGAAGAAGGTTTTCTGAGCTTTTACGAACTGCTTGAGGCCATTGTTGATCAGCCACCACCCATTGCTCCACCTGATCAATTTTCACCGGAGTTCTGTTCATTTATATCAGCTTGGTATGCCCACTGCTCTTCCTTGCATCAATTTATGTTACGCTATGCGTGACTCTGTCTCTGGTGCGTGTTTTGATACATTATCCACGTACATGGTCATCAAGTTGATTTTAAAGTTTTTGAATACTCAGTTATGCCGCACCAGCTCAACTCCACAAACAATTATTTTAGTGATGAAAATTTAGTTCTTGGCTATTTTTTCCTTCTTTCCCCTTTGTTCATTGTACTATGCTTAGCATATTCAAGGATTGCTTCAGAAAAAAACTAGGCAAATACTTTTACATGATGCTATCCAATTGAAATTAGGCAGTTACTGGGCAATAAATACTATGAAAGTTTAATGAATGGAAGATTAATGCTTTAATACGATATATAAGAAAAAAAGAAGATATAGGAAAATCAACCATAAGAACCAATAATTAAACTTTACATGAGAATGAATACACAAATACTAGGAAGACGAACAATTGTATTTGAAAACCAATTTTGTTTTGTGTGTTAAGAGGTGTCTGGGAAGCTACTTATTTGCTAAGATGATTGACGCAGAGGTACAAGGAAAAGAAAATAGATTTAAATGGATTTGTTTTGATTTTTCCAGTACTTTAAGTGATTATAGTTGCATCTAAGAAGGTTCTTTTTCCCCCCTTTGTTAAAAATTTTACTGATTGCACATCTAGAAATTTATGAAAGCTAAACAACTTCATATATAGCGGAACCTGATTCATTACTTCTGTTGCAGTGTACAGAAGGATCCTCAGGAAAGGATGTCATCTCTGGAGCTGCTGGTAAGTGACATCACTCTATTTTTTCTATCGATTCATTTCACGAAAGCTGCTCCCTGAATGTTCTCTTCACGTCTGGTTTCAGAGTCATCCATTCATCAAGAAGTTTGAAGACAAGGACATTAGTCTGGGGGTTCTTGTGGATGGCTTAGATCCTCCTGTAAATTATCTGGGCTAATGTGCGATGTATATTTTATGTACGCATTAATGACGAACTTGAGAGAAAACCAATGCTGCCATCAGCTTAATGCCAGTGTATGCGATTTGCACAGAGAGATGGCATAAAATGAATGCGTGACTGTTGAACGTAAACGCTCCAGGTTGGGCTATAGTTTTCTGCAAGTCCTCCTGAAAATGCGTAAGGATTTATTCAATCAATTAAATGAGAGATTTGAGATGGCTTTTGCAAAATGCTTTTAAATGTTTATATACTCGAATAATAGTTATGTTTTTAAGCAGTTGTGCTTTTTCAGTATAATATCCTGTATTACTTCGTCATCTGAATTTTTTCGATGTCTCCACGTTAATTTATCATTAGCAAAAGAAAAGCAGGGAAAAAGTGGAGGGTACACCTACATACGTTCTTGCTTTAAGTGCAATTGATGGTATGCAATCCTTTTTTACTTCCAGTTTCCTTTTGTTCTTTTTTCCCGTCTATGTGAAAATATACATGCTTGATGAGCCTTTATAGAAAAGATTCTGTAGTCTGAACTGCGTATTACCATTTACTACTAATCGTTGGTTGTAAATTTGTTCATTTGAAGAAGTTTTATGAACTGAAAAGCGAATTGTATTATCAGCTGGTGGAGACAAAGTATACGAAACAAATTTAACGATAAATGTAACAAAAAGCATTGGTTATGCATCAGAGCAAAATGTGCAATGTCCAGAGGCTTATGAAATCAATAATACGCTAGAGCAAAATGCTTTATCCCATGATGAAATGGGCATGGAACATCAACATGCTGCTCAAAATGAATGATATCATTAGAAACAGAAGGTCAAAATATGGAGCAAGGAAACATACTTTCAGTTGTTACTGATATATCCGAATGACGATGAAAACTGTAGGAGCCGCCTCTTGATTATATGTCAATTATCAACTTTAGTTAGGTCATTTCCCGAGTTTCCAATTATGACCCAATTCTAATTATCATAACATCAAATATACACGATATTCAATCCCGTCGTGATGCACTTCACCTAACCCTCAGAACACGCGACATGGTTATTGTTTCAAAAGGGCTGACAATTTTGATGTAAGCAGAACGAGCTTTATAAACTTTACAAACTTCTCAAATCGCATATTGGATCTAAACATCAAATGTGTGCTTTGTGGAACTTGTGAGACCCCGACTTTAGTCCCACATCGGGAATTTACAGTAAAAATGCATGGCTTAAATAGGTAAGTCCAAGATTTAATTATATCATCGGCTAGTCGATTTTGGCAATAGATTGAGCCACGCAACGCGCTACACTCGGTGAGTCCCACAGTTACACGCCTTGCACCGGGGCCCATGGGCTCGGGACGTGACAAAATGGTATTGTCAGCCTAAAATGTGACTTAAATATTGTCTTTGAAACTTGTTGCTACTGTATAGTGTAGGCGTCAAAAATTACCTATAGGGTATCACACATAGCTCAAGATGAAGAGAAGGCGATAAACATCATTATCTAAGTTATAAAAGATCATCCAAAGCCAAAGATCAACTAAGGAATATACAAAAAGTGCATCACGCAAGTTTCGAGGCACAAAACATTGTCTCAGAAACTATGAGAAGACTTATAGTTTTCGAGACAGTTGCGGCTGTCTCGGAAGCTATGAAGGCAAATCATAGTTTCTGATTGCCTTTATAGCTTCCGAGACACTTGCGTCTGTCTCGGAAACTAGAGTGGGCTTGGCGACGGTTTTCTCGAGTTTTGTGCCGTCCACATGGTTTCATAACTGTTGGTGATCATTCATAAACGTGGGGGAGCCGTTATAAGCGAAAATCACGCCAATAACTGCTGAAATAATGGCATTAAAACGTGGTTGAAGCAGTTACATAACGGATGGAAACGAGCCTTGTTCCCGAGACAGCCACGAGTGTCTCGGAAACAAAGGTTCGTCGACACAACTTCTTTTCAACTCCAGACTTCAATTATGGTTCTTAGATGTTATAAATACCTTCCTAGGATCATTACTGGCGAGGAGGAGAGCAGACCAAGGCAAATAGAGTAGAAACTTAAGCACTTTGGTGCACGAGAGAGAGTCTCATCAATTTTAAGCAAATCCGAGAAGCCTTCGGCGTTTCCTCTAAATCTAAGCTTTGACTTGATCTTGAGAAGTGTGTTTTATCTTACTTTGCTACGATATCCACTTTTGTCTTTGTTTCTAAAACAAAACATCGACCTTAAGTTTTCTTCACAATTCAACTTGGATCTGTGATTCGGTCGTCCACGGACTAACACACCCCCAGCACAGGCAAAGATCCCGCACAAGCAGCGGGTGATAAACGTCCTCTACGTGTGTTTCTAGGAAGTTGTTTGTTTGTAACGAGAAGTCTTATAAAAAGATTTGTTTCTTAGAATTCATTGTATTCGATAAACGAGTTGTAATGAGTTCAATAAATAAACTAATTTCCGAGGCAAACATATAGTAGCAGGTGACCACACACAAATTTCTAGTTTTCTCCCACTAATTCATCTCTTTGTTTTCTCTTCTTTGTACATATTTATTCTATCAATAAAATTAGGCCCTGGTCCTTCCCCCCAAATAATAATGATAATAAATAAATAAATAAATAAATAAAAGAAAAGGACGACCCTTTGTATTATATCTATTAAGCATGCCACATGTTAAAATCTTAACATCATAAAATTAAATAAGGAACAGAAATTGCGAAGATGAAAGAAGATTCATCTGAAAAGTTTTTAAAATCTGCTAATGCTGCAGTGTGAAGTTCTTACCTGTTGATTTGCATAAACTATGGTGTACATCAAAAGCTAGCTAGCTTCATTATTCACTCCAAAAGACGATCAAAGAAAACTTCACATCTGCCAAAATGATCGAAGAAAAAAACTTCACATCTGCCAAAATGATCGAAGAAAACTTCACATCTGCCAACTCGAGCAAGCAAAATTTTGAATGGAAAGGAAATGTCTGCAACCAATCTGTGAGTTGTTAATCAGTCCGGATTGGTAGTTTGAATCCTAGTTAGTAGATAGAATTCTAGTTAGAATAGAATACTAGTTAGTAGAGAGTTTTCTAGTTATTGGATAAAGATTAGAGTTGTAATCTTATCCCTAAGTGTTTATATATATGTAAACAAGTCTTTGTTTCTTTTAGAACGTGAATAAGAATCAAAAAAATTCCCTGCTCCTCTGTTCGTTCTATCAAAGTCAGGTTCTCTCTCTGTTTGTTCGGCTAATACCAAGTGCAGGAGCAGAAACTTAGAAAAGTTCCTGCTGCAGTTCTCTGTCAACATCCGGTCTGTGTCCATAATCCGAAACAGAGGCTTGTTAACTCTGTCAATCTGCTGCAGTCCGTTCTCTGAAAAACTGCCAGGTTTTGCTCGGTTGCTACAGTATTTACAGGTTTTCTAAATCAGTTTCAGATCTGATTCAGGCCGATCCTATTACAAATCCAACAAGTGGTATCAGAGCGGTGTATGCCTAAGTACCAACCAAGATCTGAAGAGATGACGAGTTCGGAGAAGATGACGACCAAGGTGGGTTCGCTCACTCTTCAATACCCGACGTTATCGAGGGACAACTATGCTTCGTGGGCAATCAAGATGAAAGTCTACATGAAGGCTCAAGACGTGTGGGATGCCATTGAGCCCGCGGCAGGCGCGTCTGTGGAACACAGGAAGGATCAGATGGCGTTGGCGGCCATTTACCAGGGGATTCCTGAAGAGACTTTGATGGTGATCGCAGAGAAGCAAACGGCAAAAGAGGCATGGGAGACGTTGAAAACTATGCACCTAGGAGCGGATCGTGTGAGGAACGCGAAGGTGCAGACCTTGAAGTCCGAGTTCGAACTTCTCCGGATGAAGGAGAATGACAACGTCGACGATTTTTCGACGAAGTTGACAGGAGTCGTCAACAAGATCCGGGCTTTAGGCGGCGAGATGGAGGAGAACTACGTCGTCAGAAAGCTACTTCGGGCGGTACCGGAGAGATTCCTTACTATCGTCTCCACGATTGAACAGTTCGGGGACATCGACGACATGACACTCGAGGAGGCGATCGGGCGCCTCAAAGCCCACGAGGAGAGGGCACGTGTTTTTCGAAACAACGTCGACGATCACCTATTGTTGACGCATGCGGAGTGGCAAGCAAGGAGCAAGAAGAACGGCGGAGGCTTCCTCTCAACACCTACAACCAATGATGGCAGCGGTCGAGGACGAGGTCGCGGGGCCGGTCGTGGGCGTGGCCGTGGCCAAAGAGGCCGAGGCGGACAGCAGTACCACGGCAGCGGACAGCAGTACCACGGCAGCGGACAGCAGTACCACGGCAGCGGACAGCAGTACCACGGAGGCCGCGGAGGGGAGCACGGCGGCCAGGCAGGCCGAGGCGGCTTCGGCGGCAGAGGAGGACGTCCAGGAGGTGGTTTCGGCCATGGAGGTGCAGCTCGCCAGGAGGGGGAGAGTAGCACAAGCGGTGGTCGAGACAAATCCAACATCAAATGCTTCAATTGCGGAGTATATGGTCACTTTCAGTCGGAGTGTCACAAGCAACGCCGCAATAATGAACAGGAGGCTCATCTTACCCGTGCATATGACGAGGAGCCAACCTTGATGATGGCTATGTTAGAGGAATCGTCAAGTGCTATTTTGCTTAATGAGGAGAAGGTGGTGCCGGATTTACTTACAGCGGGGGAGGCACATGTTGACAACAACACTTGGTATCTTGACAACGGAGCTAGCAATCACATGACCGGCCACCGAGACAAGTTCAAGGAGCTCGACGAGAACATCAAGGGAACCGTCAAGTTTGGTGATGGATCCGCGGTAGAGATCAAGGGGAAAGGCTCAATCCTCTTTCAGTGCAACAACGGCGATCAAAGGCTACTACCTGAGGTATATTATATTCCAAGTTTGAAATCTAACATTATTAGCCTTGGTCAGATGACTGAAGATGGGAGTAAGGTTGTTATTGCTGACGAGTTCCTGAGGGTGTTTGATAGGAACGGTGCTCTCTTGATGAGGGTGACACGTTCAACTAACCGATTGTACAGGATAGAGTTAAAAACTTGCAAGCCGGCGTGTTTGATGGCGAATATTAACGATCCAGCTTGGCTATGGCATGCTCGCCTTGGGCATGTCAATTTCTTCGCCCTCAAGATGATGACTGATAAAAGGATGGCTTCCGGGTTGCCGAAGATCTTGCACCCAAATCAACTATGCGAAGGATGCCTCGTCGCCAAGCAAGCAAGACTGCCGTTCCCTTCGCAAGCAAACTTCAGAGCTCAGAGGCCGCTGGAATTACTACATGCTGACCTATGTGGTCCTATC